ATCTTTAAGGCTATCATTGCATCTTCTTGGCTTCGTCTTGTAGAAACTTCGTCGTGTTACTTCACCACTAATTATGCAATTACTAGTAAGTAGGACTAATCTAAATGATCTAAGTACAAAAATACTTAACGGCATGCAGTCCATATTTAGATTTACAAAAATACAAAACGGAACGTAGTCCGTATTTACTATCCTAGTCGGGCCATACTAGTTGCCTTTTGTAAAACCTGCATAAGAACATTTATAATATTCCATTCATCCATTCACTTCTAAAGTGAATGGCCCATGCATTTTAAAAATAATTCAAGCAACGATATAAAGTATTATATCAAACGAGCGTGTACTAGTTACTAACTTAGGTGGTTAATTCGATTAACAAGCCTAATTATAACTATTCAATGTTGGGTGTGTGGTAAGTATGGTCATATTGCTAAAAATTGTAGAAATAAGAAAAATGGACCTACTTCTCAAGCCAACATGGTGGAGGAACCTCTTGTAGCCATGATTACTAAAATTAACATGGTTGATAATTATGAGGGTTGGTGGGTTGATACCGGGGCTTCTAAACATGTTTTCCATGATAAAAATTGGTTTAAAAAATTATCACCCTACTAATGTCGAAAGAAAAGTCCTTCTAGGTGATTCTCACTCTACTAATGTTCTTGGTGTTGGTGATATTGAGCTTAAATTTACTTTTGGAAAAGTTTTGACATTGAAGGATGTTCTCCATGCTCCTCACATTCGTAAGAATCTTGTTTCCGGTTATCTCCTCAACAAAGCGGGTTTTGAACAAGTTATCAAATCCAATAGTTACACTATTACCAAGAATAATGTATTTGTTGGTAAAGGTTATGCTTGTGATGGAATGTTCAAATTGAATGTTGAGATGAATAAAAGTACTACTAATTTCGTTTATATTGTGAATTGTGTTAATGTTTGGCATGCTCGTTTATGTCATATTAATAGTAAATATATCAATGACATGAGCTATTTAGGCCTTATACCTAAATTAGTAAATAAATTTGAACAATGTGAAATTTGTAGTATGACTAAAACTACAAAGAAGCCTCACCCTAAAGTTGAAAGACATACTCAACTATTAGAACTTATACATACCGATATATGTGAGTTTGAAGGTATATTGACTAGAGGTGGACAAAGGTATTTTATTACTTTTATAGATGACTATTCACGTTTTACTTTTGTCTATTTGATGAAAAATAAAAGTGATGCTTTTGACAGCTTAACCACTTTTATAAATTAAAATATTTTGTAGTGATAGAGGATAAGAGTATGCTTCCTTAGGATTGATTGACCACATAAAATCCTTAGGAATTATACATGAAATTACTCCACCCTATTCCTCGGAGTCTAATGGTGTAGCGGAACGTAAAAATAGGACTCTAATTGCTTTGACTAATGCTATGTTAGTAAATTCCGGGGCTCCTAAAAATCTTTGGGAATAGGCCATATTAACCGAAAATTATGTGTTGAATAGAATACCTTGTAAAAAGACTTTATTAACACCCTTTGAGTTATGGAAAGGCCATAAACCTAATCTTAGTTATTTTCGTATTTGGGGGTGTTTGGCTTATGTTCAAAAAACGGATCCTAAAATTCCTAAATTAGGCATCAAAGCAACTAGATGTGATTTTATTGGTTATGCTTACAATAGTAAGGCATATAGATTTTTAGCTTAGAAAATTATGTTGTGATTGAATCTTTAGATGCAATTTTTCATGAAGATAAATTTCCTTTTGTAAATAGTGGGGGTGATGTAGCTACTAATGATAGCTTTGTTGAAAGATCTAGTTTTACTAGATGATTAGTGTTAGATGAACCTCTAAGAAGAAGTAAAAGAGGTAGGGTAGAAAAAGACTTTGGTTCCGATTTTCATTTATATTCACTTGATGATTGTTTGTTTGATTTAGAAGATATAATTTGTAATGTTAAAGATGAACCTGAATCTTTGGCCGAAACTTTTTCCTCACCCGATGCTAATTTTTGGAGGGAAGTTGTTAATGTTGAGTTAGAATCTTTGATGTCTAATAAAACTTGGATTTTAACTGATTTGCCACCTGGTTGTAAAGCAATAGGTTGTAAATGGGTACTTAGAAGGAAAAGAAAGCCTGATGGTACTATTGAAAATTCAAAGCTAGGTTGGTTATATAAGGTTTTCATCAAAAGGAAAATATAGACTTTTTTGATACTTATTCTCCTGTTGCTAAAGTGTATTCTATTAGAACTTTAATTGCTATTGCTGCTGTTCATAATCTTCTAATTCATCAGATGGATGTTAAAACTGCATTTTTGAATGGAGATTTAGATGAAGAAATTTATATGAAACAACCTGAAGGATTTGTTCAACCTGGGACGGAGGATATAGTGTGTAAATTAATAGCTCACTTTATGTCCTTAAACAAGCTCTTAAACAATGGCATAAGAAATTTGATGATTGTGTGATAGCTAATGGTTTTTTGGCTAATGAAAGTGATAAGTGTTATTATAAGTGTGAAGATAATGATAGTGTTATTATTTGCTTATATGTTGATGATCTCCTTATTTCTAGTAACCTATCGATTATTTCTAGTACCAAGAAAATTCATTGTAATTATTTTGATATGAACGACATGGGTGAAGGAAATGTGATATTGGTTATGAAAATTCATAAGTGCTCAAATATAATATTTCTTGATCAATCTCACTATGTTGAGAAAATGTTGAAAAAATATAATTATTTTGATTGCAAGCCTAGAAATAGTCCTTTGGATTTTCACATTCAACTTTATCTGACTGTGAATGATTATGATATTATTAATCAAAAAGAATATGCTAAAATTGTTGGTAGCTTAAGATATGTTGCAGATACCACAAGGCCTGATATTAGTTATGCAGTTGGTATGTTAAGTCGTTTACTAGTAGACCTTGTCATGAACATTGGTTTGCTATAGAACGTTTAATGTGTTATCTTAAGAAAACTTTTGACTATGGTATTTTTTATAAAAGACATCCTGCAATACTTGAAGGTTTTTCTGATGCTGATTGGAATTATTTAGCCGGAGAAACTATGTCTACAAGTGAATTTGTTTTCTTAATAGGTGGTGGTGTAATCAGTTAGAGGTCCAAGAAGCAAACAAATATATCCCATTCTACAATGGAGGCCAAATTGATAGCGTTGTCAAATTCCAGTGATGAAGCAAATTGGTTATGAAATTTCTTACATGATATCCCTATATGGGATAGACCAGTACCACCAATTTTGCTCCATTGTGATAGCACAGAGGCTATTGGAAGAGTACATAGTATGTACTATAATGGAAAATCTAGATCCATGAGAAGGATGCATGGGATTGTGAGAGGACATTTGTCCAATGGCGCCATAAATGTTAATCATGTACGATCGGAAGACAATCTTTCTGATCAATTGACTAAAGCTCTAGCTAGAGACAAGATTTGGAAAGTATCGAGGGGATGGGACTAATGCCCAAAAATGAAATAAGTCATATATGAGGATACCCTATTTAGGAAAAAACGAATCATATGATGACTTGAAGACATGCCAATTATTTATATACATATATTGTTATTTTGTCCCTCCCTAGGGTGCGGCATGTATACTTGTGGTGTTGATGAAGTTGAGCAAAATAATATTTTAATTTTATGTATATGATTTGTAGGATTTTGCTCTTAATGACCCTATAGCCTATGTGGGCGGAATGCTTGACCACAAGAGCATTCTTGATAGGATCACCTATATGAGTGTGGAAGTGAGGCCACTTCTATGAGAATGAGGGCATATTCTCTAAAGATACTCATGAATACCGGGATGGTGCACATGGCCAAAACGTGCAAACCTAAGAAGTTTTAAAATACCTAAGGTATCATGTGTGTGAAGTTTCCAACGTGCCATCAAGTAGTTGAAGTTTCAAGGTCGTGCCACTTTGACTCTAGTACGTGGTAAATTGAAACACTAATTAGAGGTTTCAAGGTGCGCGGAGCCACCTCTACTATGCATGGTATCTTGTGACGGTTATTCAAGTAAGTTATTTTTTGTTCAAATAAGTGGGGGATTGTTGGATATTTTAACTAAAAATAATTATATTTTAATTGATTTTTAATTTAATGTTCAATTTTTAAATTTAAATTATGAATAAAATCTTTTATTTTAAATTACTGTTTTATTTGCTTAACGTATTTAAAATATCACTATTATGAGATTTGTAACTCCTAATCAATATTTGAAAGTTACTTAAGCACCATTGGCTTTTAAAACAAAATTAACACTCCATAACGTTTTGATATTCAGCTACTTATAAGCAGGTGAGTGTTGGTTTTGGAACGTTACAAGTTTTTAAAGCATAGATATTTATCTTTATATATTTGACTTTGATCACAAATCAAAGTAATGATGGTGATTTAAATTAAAATTGAATTTTATTCTTAATAATTAAGTGGGAGTTACAAGTTGTTTAGCGTTGTAACTTCTGATTTATTTTTGCAACGTTTTGTACTTATGGTGGTCATATATATATATATATATATATATATATATATATATATATATATATATATATATATATATATATATATTTCCTTGTGTAGCTTAAGCCTTACGTGATAGACACAAATATACAATATACTATATATTCCTCTACATACTTGGATAATGTACAAAAGTCTGGTATATTGATTATTATATAAGCTTCTACTCCATAATACGCAGATTAGGGAGTGTATAAGTTGGGGTTTTATCCAGGGACGACGCGCCAATTACTTCCTGCGATTTGTATTGGAGGGCGTGAATCGTCTTGAGGAGAGTTGAAAGTTATCCGCAACCCACCCAACTAAATTTTCAGATTATTTTTAACTTTATATTTCTTTTATTTTCCCATTTTTTCCTTGTATTATTTTCAACAGAATATAGGAAAAATATGTTCATTTTTAATATACTAAATGTTCATAATATTTTTTTACGTGTTCATTTTTTATACTAATGTTCATTTTATTTAATGTGTTCATATATTTTTATGAAATGTTCATTTTATTAGGTGTGGTCCAGCTATTCTATGATTGTATGATAAATGTTCATTTTTAATATACTAATGTTCATAATTATTTTTGAAGTGTTCATTTTTTATTACTAAATGTTTTGTTTTTTTTGTTTTTTTTTTAAGTGTTCATAACTATTTTTACTAATTGTCCATTTTAAAGGTCGTGGTCTAGCAATTTATGATTATCGTGTTCATTTTTAACATACTAAATGATCATTTTTTAAAGATGTTCACTTTTTAAGTACTAGATGTTCATTTTTTTTTATGTGTTCATTTTTTTATTACTGAATGCTCATTTTTTTTTACGTGTTCATATTTTTTTTACTACATGTTCATTTTATAAAAAGTGGTGCAGCTAGAATAGTTGCACCAGTATGCACCAAAGACTTATTGGATTTACAAAGCTTTGTTGATCAGACTGATCAACCGGGGCCGGCTCATTGGAAAAATAAGGAAAGTTCAGTGATAACGTTGACAATTTTACCATCTATTTTGAAAATTAAGGTCCGTCTAGAAGTCAAGTGGTTATTAGTCACTTGTAAGGCTTGGAATTAGTCAGCTTTTACGAAGTTGAGTATGAAATATTTTCCACAAAATAATAAAAACACATCAAATTTTCAACTATTTTGGGCTGATAACTCGACTTCCACATCTATTTAAGAGCTCAATTATATTCTTACTATTGTCCATACTGAATTATCCAAGTCACGTATTATAGTGAGACAGTGAGAGTACGTAGTGTAAGATCGAGTGAGAGATCATGAGTTCAATTCCTACGTTAGCATCCCTAGTCAAGGATGGTAAAGTTCAAAATGATTTCATCATGTTCGAAGATGAACGTCCTAAGGTTGCATATAACCAATTTAGCAACGTAATCCCGGTGATCTCTCTCGATGGAATCGAGGATGACACACCGGGAGGACAAAGGGAGGTTATACGCAACCAAATTGCTAAAGCTTGTGAGGAATGGGGGTTGTTTCAAGTGGTGGATCACGGTGTTGATCCTAAACTTGTGCATGATATGGCTACCTTGTCTAGGGAATTTTTTGCTTTGCCTGATGAAGAGAAACTAAGGTTTGATATGAGTGGAGGCAAGAAAGGTGGTTTCATAGTATCCAGTCATATACAGGTACCTCTTATCTTATAAGAATGGGATTTTCTTCCTTTTAAGGATAACTAAACATGTAAGATATGTTTTAATCTTACTTGAACTTTTTTGAAACCATCTTACTTGAACTTATTTTTCCTGAAATAAACTTATCTAAACGTAATTGAACTTATTACACCTGAAATAAGTGAAAATAAGATGCATAGAACAGACCTTAATTCAATGGGTAAATAAGAGCCACTTAATTCAAAGTACAACTAAAACAAGTTCTTGTACGTTCATGAGAATTAAGATAAGTTCAGATAAATTTATACATGAAACTGTGACCTTATGGCACTGGGTACTTTAATATATACGTATTATTTTATATTTATTTTATTTTAACAATTCCACTTATTCAAAAAAAATTAACGAATTTTTCATCTTATTTGGATGTATAAAGTACTCTTCAAAATTTAGCAAATATTATTGATAATTTCATAAATCTTCTTTTAAGAATATACTTCGTATTATCTAGTACTTTGTATTTAACTAGATAATGCCCGAGCCATGCTCGGTTTTTAAAATTAACACGGAAAATTAATTGAAATATAGAAGTGTCTATATAAATGTAAGTAATCGTCAACCCATAAATAAATAAATAATGAAGTTTGTTAATTAATTAATTTAAAGTGTGTAGAATCATATGCATAACAATAAATAAATACATAATAATATTCCTGGATAGTTTTGCAATGGCTACAATAAAAATTGTAGCCATCATATAAACAAAATCTACACCGTTGATTATTACTATTATGTAAATAAGGGCAATTGATTTAAGTCGACCAAAAAAAATACCTAAAAAAGTTTTCTTTAACTATTTTTCCTTATTCCTCTAAAACTAAACTACTATACATACGACAACTTCCAATCTTCCATTAGGGGGCGTTTGGTTCACATAGTGGTATGAGTTTGGAATCAGGAATGGGGTTAAAATGGTTTCGGGTTGGAACTTGATACTTAATACCATGTGTTTGGTTCAATTCTGGAATAAATCTCTTACTATTCCCTTCTTTTATTTGATACCTAAGGGAATGGAATGAGCCAAACCCACATCCCCCCCAAGGTTTCTAAACCCCATACCTCATGGATTTGAGGTATGGGTTTAAAATTCATACTTTTGACAAACAAACATATGGTATGAGTTTTAGTCATTCTAAACCCATACCTCATACTTGTATTCCCCGAACCAAATGTCTCCTTAATGATTTTTTGCAAAGTAGGAAAAATCAACACAATCCACTTAAAAATAAATCCATCAATTAGTGCAAAGTAAAATTGGTCCTATCCAACTATCCATAAACTTAGTATTAAACTATCCAATGTATAAAATTGTAATCCTTTTTTGAAAATTAGTTTCCAGTTTTCCATTGATTGTTTGTACTATTATACTTTAATCCTATCCACAGTATATAGTTTCCAGTTTTCCATTAATTGTTTGTACTTATTATATCTTGCATCGTTCAGACGTTTTGCAAAAAGAATATATTATACAAATGTAAAGAACATACAGTTGTAGTGAAAAAACATAGTATTAAAATGTAATGAATATATACCTAAAGTAAAGAGAACATATCTGCACCAAAAAAGAGTGAAAAGAACATATGTCCATGTTCTTTGATTATTAGTGTAATGTAATTTTATTTGTGATATAATATTCATTGCTTATTGTGAAATGTTCTTTGAATTTTGTCTTTAAATTATGGTGGGTATATATAAATAACGTACATTACATAATACTATCATGTTCTTTATTAATATTATAGATGTTTTTTAGACATAAAAAAAAACCATTAAATTGGATGTTCTTTACAAAACAGTTATATGTTCTTTACAAAACAACTACATGTCCAAGCAAGGTACCAGCGGCTGCACCTTAAAATTTTCATCCTATCTATGTTAATTGTTCCTCTATAGTTATTTAATGGAGATAAAATTAAAGGTTGAATATGTTGACAAGTAAATTTTTTTTTTTTCATTTTTTTTTTCAAAATAAAGTAGTTATTAAAATCATTTATAAATGGAAAAATTGGTTTTATTAATCCCAACTTTGGACCATTTAGTTTAATTAATCCCAATTATCGATTATTTCTAAATAATCCCAATTTTGGTGGGTATTAAGTTTTAATCAAGCGTTACCGGTTACCAAACCTATAATAGCAGGTCATTTACCACGTGTCAACACTCTATTAGTTTAAAAAAAAAATTTAAAAAAGTTAAAAAAAAATACATAAACCACTGCCAGCCAGCCTAGAAGCCTACACTGTCGGCGACACCCTCGCCACCAGCCAACCCCTTCCCTGCCCTTCCCCAACCACGGAAGTTTCCTTCCCCGCCCCCAAAACCTCCCTCTCCCTTCCCCTTCCCCGTAAAACACCTCCCCTGCTTTCCCCTTCTTCAGTTTTCCCCGTCTTAGATTTGGCTGCATGGGTGGGGGTTTTGAGTGTGGCAATGGAAGTAAGGGTGGGATTCGATTTTGGCGACGAAAACAAGCAGCGGACTAGGGGTTCGGTGCTGTGGCGACAGAAACAGGGGTGCGGGGTTGTGGGTTCGCGGGCAAGGGTATAAGGTGATGGGTGGGAGCTCAGCGTTCGTGGGAAGGGGTTTGGGTTTGGTTGGGTCATCAGGATAAGGTAGGGTCGCCGCGGTTGCGTCACCGGCTGGGGGTGGAGGTGGTTGCAGGCTGGGAAGGAGGCGTTTTTCGGTAGGGGCTGGGCTACGAAGGAGAACGGAAAAGGTGGTTTAGATTTCTTTTTTTTTAAGAAGAATTTTATTTTTTGGCCATTTAAAATGTGACATGTGGCAATATAAAAAAAAAGTTTATCTTTTATTCAGATCACCGGTCATTTGAACCTGATGAAAGAAAATGCCCCCCAAAGATAAAATTATTAATAAAAATTTTTCCTTTATAAATTAGAAGTCAAATATTAAATGGATAAGATTAATCATTAATATTTAAATGGTTGAAATTAAAATTAGTTACAATGGCTAAATTTTTTATGTAGCCATTGAATAGTCCTCCTAGGAAACTTAATAATTATGTAAAAAAAATAAAAAATTTATAAAAAGGCAAAATTGGCCGCAACACTCTGAAGTATGGCTTAGGTGCACTGAGCACCCTGAACTTTGCGTAGTAGCCAAAACACCACCAATTATGGTGTTAGGTGCAACGCATGCCATAAATGAAAATTTTCGGCAACTTATTTCACCGAGAGGAGGGTATGCACAATAATATACTTAAAAGACAATAATCCAAACCTGTTTGCATAAACGATCTAAACATTTTGTAGTCAACAAAAAAAAAATGGTAGGGAAAAATGTGTAAAAATGGATTTGAACTCTAGACTAGAGCGACAATTCAAGAAAGCTTGAGAGACACTTGGATAACCAGTTAGCTACACTTTATTGATGCTATAGGGCCGCTTCAAATTTTATTTTAATGAATATGTGGGATATGTGTTAAATACGGGTCTAGGCCGCACCTACAAACCAAGAGAGAGTCCACTTCACAAGACCAAAGGAGGTTCCATCCCAAAGCCATATGGAAATATGAGGTTCAGTTCCTTAGCCTTATAAAGTATTTGACTTTCTCAACTTTTATCAATGTGGGATGCTTACATGTGTTATGTGGTAGGATATAGTTCAACACTCCCCATCACATGTAAGGTCTCTTTAACTCAAGGATCACATTGCATGATCCAATTCAATTTGACCCAAAATATTTAATGCCATTAAAGTTCCCAAACCATGGGCCTGGCAATATACTCAAGCCATTAAAGGTCCCAAACCATGGGCTGGCTTTGATATCATGTTAAAGGACTAACTCAACCAAAAGCTTAAATTGATGGTAGAAGCTCAAGATGGTTTATATACTCTATCACACCCCTCACATGAAAGTCAATAGGGCTTGAAGTGTGGATGTAGCATGGGCTCCACCATACCCAGTGTTAATATTATATTTTGAAAGGAGGGGTGGATGAAATTAGAAATTCCTTTATTTTTTCTCATTTTGCATTTGTTTAGAGATATAAGAGATGGAGATACTAATATAGATTAGTTAAATTAAATATATATATATATATATATATATATATATATATATATATATATATATATATATATATATATATATATAAACAACCTCTTTATAGTTCCCAACTTTCCTTCATAAGAAACCAACTATAATCCCCTATATGTTTAGTTAAATATTGGCTTAAATATTATTTTGTTCACTTTATTTTCATCTACTATAAATTCAGATAAAGAATTAAGTATTACTTAAGTTCATTCACAATTTAAATTAGTTGTAATAACGTCTATTAAATTCTAATAATTTAAAGTATATAAAAATTAGGTTAATTAAACAAAACTTTTAGGGTTTGTTTGATATTGCTGTGGTTTTCTGTTTTTTGGTTTTTTGTTTTTCAAAATCATATGATATATGTCAAATAATGAATAATAAATTAGTCAAACTTATTAAAATCATGACAATTTTGAAAACTGACAACAGAAAAGTGGAAACACCTTTTTCTTGTTTCCTGTTTTTGATTTTTTGTTTTCAAAAAAACTAAAAACTGAAAAAAAAATAAAAAAAAATAAAAAAAAAACGATGCCAAACAAACCCTTAATTTTTCTAATTTTACTTTTGCTAGAATGAAGTAGTAGCAAATTGGCGGGAATTGGTAACTTTCATTCTATACCCAATAAAAGAGAGGGACTACTCGAGGTGGCCCGATAAGCCCAAAGAATGGCGGGCCGTAACTGAACTCTATACTGAAAATATGATGGGCCTAGGTACCCAACTTTTAGGGGTTTTGTCCGAGGCAATGGGCCTTGAAAGGCAGGCCATGACAAAGGCCTGTAAGGAGTTGACCCAAAGGATGGTAGTGAATTTCTATCCAAAATGCCCAGAGCCCAGTCTTGCAATTGGGCTTAAAAGACATACTGATCCAGGTACAATTACTTTGTTACTACAAGACCAGGTTGGTGGGCTACAAACTACTAAAGATGGTGGAGAGAATTGGATCACAGTCCAGCCCATTGAGGGTGCTTTTGTTGTCAACCTTGGTGACCATGCAGAAGTAAGTTGATAATTCTTAAACTATTTTTGCTTAATGATATGCAAATAAGGTGTATTTTACTTATCTGATTTTTATCAGTGTAAGTCATTATAGCTAAAAATAGAACTGGAATAAACTCTATGTATTACTTTCTCCGTTTTTACTAACTTGCAGCATACCACCCTAGCACACACTTCAAGAAAGATTATTAAACTAGGTCAACTAATTAATTAATTGAAATAATTTTATCACATAAGAGAAAGTGCTAAGTTAGTACAGTTCAATTTTATAACTTAATTTGTCCATGTACCTTTTCTAATTACCTCCTCAAATTAAAAAAGATGTATTATAAGTATATAAAAATTGAGAAAGTATATGTAATTTGAACTTATTTTTCTTATATATAGGAGAATGAATAAAAGTTAGGGAATGTGAAAATTGCCCATGTGATACAAACAAAAGAGAGGGAAGAAGCATGGTTATTTCATGTTTACAAGGGTAAAATTGGTATTTAGTGTGAATATATGCATGTAGACCTGTCTATTTGGGTCAATGGGTTGGATTCGAGTCAAATTTCGAGTGTTTGAATTATTACAAAATATGATAAGTGGGTCAAATTGGGTCATTAGGGTCGAGTCGGGTCGAGTTCTCTCTCAATAACTCGGGTTTTGGGTTGAGTTGGGTTACTGGGTCGGGTTAGAGTTTGACAGGTCTGCATGCATGTAAAAAGTGATTGACTGCATACCAAATAAGAAAAAATTATTGGAATTAATATGCAACTTTCAGGAAAAAAAATACAATTAAAAATAAAAAAAAGGAGGAATGAAATTATCATCCATAATCTAAACTTATATTTCTAACATAAGTAAAAATATGATGAACAAAGCTTGACATAATTTTGCTCTATTTATTGGCAAAGTTATCAATTGTCCTCCTGAAGTCACAAAATCAAACCTTAAACAATGAACGACGTATTACTTCCTCTGTTTCAAATTAGTGTCCCAATTTGATTTTTTGCACTATATATTCAAGATTCACTTTGGCCAATGTTCGTGATTATTTGAACAAAATTATAAGGAATAATTATGTGGGTATTAATTGAAATTGTCTTAATGTATATATTCCTGATATCAACGTTATATATATATAATTTAATTTTTTTTGAACTAAAGATATTGAGGTAGTATCTGATCACTAGCTGCAATTGGTACTTGACTATCTGATAGTCCATTTTACTCTCTACCGCCTTGCTTTGAAGTTTGAATAACAAAATAAAATTTCTTGACTACTAACAATTTTGAGATTTATATTGAATAAATGAGGTGAATACGCCTTTATTGCCCAATATCTTCACAAATTCCCTGTTCAATATTTGATTATTTGACGAAGCAAAAGACTTCATCAAATTCAAAAAACTAATGCACGAAATAACCAGTCAACTTTCTATAGCTCTATATTCAATATTCAATAACTTAAGCTGTGGCTGAAGAGTTAAATTTCATTGACTACGAAGAAATCGGAATTATATGACATAACAAAATTATTAAATTATCTAGTGAAAAGTCTTAAAACAAGACAGGGTTAAATTGCTAATCCTCCTTTTTAAATACTGGCTCCATTTCTAATTTTTGCATTATTTATTTGTCCTATTTTGACTAATGTTTGTGATTTATACATAAGAAAAAGGAAAATTTGTCTAAGACAACCTTTTAAAAGACAATTTTTGTGAAAAAAATAGAAGAAAAAGGGGTGCAATTAGGAGAAATAAGGTCACGTGCAGCTCATGTGGGAGTCAACGCTGGATTCCGGTGAGTCAATGCCTAAAAGTGGGAGTTGGTCGTCCTTAACAAAAAAAAAATTTATTAGGGTCTGACTTTGCCAAAAAAAATTTAAAAGGTTGTCCTAGACAAAAATTGTTTTTTAAAAGGTTGTCTTAGACAAATTTTCCTAAGAAAAAAATATAGTGTTATGGGTACTTGTTGTAATCGTCTCAATAAATAGATTATTAGTTTTCGATTGTTAGAATATATACTTATTGATAATGAAAGATATTATTATTAAAGATTAGTATCGACATACGTGCTCAAGAAAAATGAAGCAAGTATTTAAAAACGGAATGAGTACAATTTAACCATTTAAATTTATTTTCATGCTTTTTTCTTGTAGTATCTTAGCAACGGAAGATTCAAGAAGGCAGAACATCAAGCACTTGTGAATTATGACCATAATCGATTGTCGATTGCGACATTCATCAATCCAGATCAAGAAGCAATTGTGTATCCTTTGAAGATCGAGGAGGGAGACGAGGCAATTCTAGAAGAGCCCATTGCATTTGGTGAGATGTACAAGAGACATTTTGTAAAACACCTCGAGCGAGGCAAGGCCAAGAAATTGGCTAAGGAGAATAAACTTTCAAAAGAGGAAGTTGAGAAGATGCTTCAAAATCCAGTAAAAAATGTCAAATCCTTACAAGAGTTACTTGCATAGTTGCATGCAAGAGAATGTCATGAAATAGGTGATATACGCAGTAGAAATTAATAAATTAAGTTTTTTCATGCAATAAAGATGATGCAATGTATTGTACCTATTTGTAACATGGTATAGTAAGATGTTATTTATAAAATAAGCTTGATTTCAAATTTAGAATTTGTAATATCTCAAATAGAATATAATACTTTGTATAAATTATTGATCAAACTGCCAGTAATATATAGTAATAAATAAATAAAAAACATTCCTTATGTTTTCAAATAATTAACATGCTCTTTTAAACACATATTTTAAATGTCACTGATCATACTTCGTTCTTAATCTTTGGAACGAAATTTGCTAACTATAATATGAGCTTTAAAGAAATAAAACTTGCTCTCTTTGTACTCCATACGTGCATGGTAACGTTTTTCAATTTGAGTGAATGTATGGTTGATTAGGTATTGGGTGCGCACTGCCTCACATAAATTTGCGTGCGACAGGCTTGGTTGATATATTTTACTTGTTGGCTGATATGTTTCATGTGTTGGCTGATATGTTTCATTTGTTGCCTGATATGGTTTTTATGTTGTCTAATATATTCCTTTTGTTGGCTGATATGTTTTATTTTATTTTATTTTCCCTTTTATTGGTTGATATAAGACATCATTTGGCTTTTATGTTTCTTTAGTTGGCTGTTATATTTATTTTGTTGGCTGATATGTATATTTTAATTGTTGGCTTATATGTTTCATTTTGTTGGCTGATATGTTTATTTTGTTAGCTCACCTGTTGGCTGATTCCATCGTTTTGTTGGCTGATATGCTTCATTTGTTGGCTGATATGTTTCTTCTATTGGCTGATAAATACCTTTTGTTGGCTGATATATTCTCTTGTTGACTGATATGTATCTTTTGTTGTCTGATATATTCCTTTTATTGGCTGATACGTTATTTTTATTAATGTTAACTAATGACTGATATGTTACTTTTATTGGCTGATTTACAAAATACATACAAGTACAAACTATGTTTTCCTTCTCTCTCCTCTTTCCCCCTCTTCCTCTTCCTCTCTTTCTTTCTCTCTCCTGTGAGCAGCTCCTCTTTCCTCCTCTTCGTCTCTTTCTTTCTAAAATCAGCCACAAATCCTCACGTGAACCCACCGCACCTACCAACCACCAACCACCGAACCCACTCGGCCACCACCACCTCTACCTTAAGCCGAGCCTAGCGTAAATCACCAACCACCGAACCCACCAAAGAAGCCCCAGCCACTCTCACCCAGCCACCACCAGCTAAAACAACCAGCCTACTCCCCGAAAACAACCATAGCTCCCACAGTCCGCAATTGAGCCACCACCGAACTCGCAGTCCCAATTTCAATTCAAAGTGTCCACCAATCAGTCACAACCAACGAATTGCGGCCGCTTCTCCGGGGATACAATAGTCCCTGTTGAAGCAGAACGTTGATGCTTTGAAAATCATTCAATTAGGGTTGATGATTGATTGATTTTGTGGGTGTTAATGAAAATTATGAATGGAAAAAAAAAATGAAAGGAGTACAGTAAAAAGGAGGAGAGCAGAGGAGAGAGAATAAAATAATAATAATAATTTACATTATGCAACTTTAATAAGCGCAAATGGCAAACGTCAAAGCGTTCTAATTATAATGATACCTTTTGTCCTTTTCCACCATTTAAAAATAGAATGCCATACTATTATTATTATTATTAATTATTTTTAAAAAAAAAAAATTTGTTATGGGTGGTCAATGGTATTGGTATAACAATACACCCCTCAGGATACTCAACCAACTGGGAACAATCTCCAAATAATAAATTAATTGAAATGGATGGCGTTCAATATTGATGATAGACTTTGACATATGAATGAAGAATAAATAATTAATGCTCCTTTGTGAATTATTCCTAACTTCAGATCCAGCCAACATTATTTGACAAAACACTTATTATATTTGAGGAGAAAAAAATAAATTTATTTAAACTCTGTATGTTTTGATACAAATATTTTTCATGAAATATCATTTTCAATGAAAAACAAATATTTTAATAATTATTATAGAAAGCCGTATAGTAGAGAAAAAAATGGATTTAATAGGGAGAGGAAGGATAGAAGAAAGAAAATGAGTAAAGTACAAATACAGTCCCTAAACTATTATATTTGTGCACTTTTAGTCCCTCAACTTTATGTGCATTTTTTATCCCTCAGCCACCTTGAGTGGTGTTTCTGACCAAATAGTTTAGGAACTTAGTCTAGTCAGCATTAGTTAACGGACCATGACTTATATTTTTTTTTTTGTCAGAATTTATTTAAAAAAAGAATCTTTTTAACTAACATGGCAAATGTTGTGATAGACAATAGTTTAGGGACCTCTACATGACACGTGGCCCAGTAAAAAAAATTATTTGTCATTTTCCTTTTTTTTCTACAATATTGATTTTTCATCCAGCATTAATTAAAAAAACTGACGTAATTAAAAAGCAATACTTTAATATTTTCTTAAAAAAAAGCAATATTTTTTTTCCAAAAAAATAATATTAAGGAGTTTGTTCCCTAGTTCCCCTATTCGGCTATCCCCCCCTCTCTCTCTTCAATGCTTCCCTAACCCCCCCTTCAATTTTCTCTCTCCTCCCTTCTCCCATGGCTTCCAACTCCCCCCTCTCCTCCGACAATGGTTCCCACCCCAAAAAAAAACCTAGGCCAACCTCAACCACCAACAAAACAAGAAACAAACCCTACTTTCCCCCTCCGGAATCGCCGTCGAATTCGCCCACCATTACCACACAATTGATTGCATAGAGAATAGCGAAGAAGGTGATAATGACGAGGATAATTAAGAAGATGTTCTTCCATGATTTTCTTACCACTGTTCATTATTTTTTTGAAAAATTTTTCTAGGTGAAATAAATAATTGAAGAATCCTAAATCCCCCAAATAAACCTCAAAAACAAACACCTTATCTTGGTTGTTATGGCGGTGGTTGTAATGGAAGGAGAGGCTTCAACGGCGGAGGGGGCGGCGACGGAGGTGGTAGTGGAGAAAGAGGTTGAGTGGCGGAAGGAAGAGATGTTCTTCCTTATATTATTGTTTTTCGAATTAAAAAATTATGGAAGAATAAGCAATTTTTCTTGGTTTAATTCATGATTTCTCATTTCTTGATGTTTTAGATTTTTTGGGTTTTCTTATTGAATTAGAAGAACAGGGAATAAAAATAAGGAATGAGTAGTTTTTTTTTTTTTTTTTGACGAAAAGGAATGAGTTGAAATAATTTTTTTTTTCCTTTTTTTTAATACAAATAGAGGTTTTTTTTTTTTATTTTTGAAGAAAAAAGAAATTTTTTTTTATTAATGCTGACAAAAAAAAAAAGTGGAAAAAAAATATTAATGACTTATAGTCCCTAAGCTTTTGCTGACTAGGCTAAATCCCTCAACTTTTTGGTTAGAAACACCAAAAGTGGTGGTTGAGGGACCAAAAGTGCATAAATGAAAGTTGAGGGAATAAAAGTGTACAAATACAAAAGTTTAGGGACCGTATTTATGCTTTACTCGAGAGAAAATAGTAATTACATTAAAAATCGTACTACAATCTGTACGTATTATTAATATATAGTACTCCTTTTGTGTGTGTGTGTGTGTGTGTATACAGTTATTTCATGAAATGCCACTGAGCAATTGCTAAATTCACCAAATGCCATGAACCTTTTCAAAATTCACCAAATGCCACTAAGTTTTAAAAAAATTCACCGAGTGCCATTAATGACTGACAGCCGTTAATTGAGCGTTAGTTGCCCCACCACTTGCCACGTGTCACCTTCTGATTGGTCCATTTAAAAAAAATAACAAAAAAAAAAACTGATCCCCAAACCCCAGCCACCAGCCTAGCCGCCGGCAGTCCCGGAACCCCAGCCACCAGCCCAGCCGTCGGCGGTTCCCGAACCCAACCACCCACCACCTACGAAATCTCGTGAAACCAAACACCAACAATAATCCACAATCTAAAGCTGGTGGTGGAGGTTTCGGGATTTCGCATTGTGGTGCTTGTGGAGGTTTCTGGTGGTGGTCGTTTCTGGTGATGGTGGATTTGCGGGGTTTCGGGATTTCGCTAGTGGAGTTTGTGGTGGTGGTGGTGGTCGTGGTCGTGGTCGGGATTTTGGAGTTTCTGATGGTGGAGTTTCTGGTAAAACGCCATTGAAGCTCACGCATAAAAGCTTGAGGAACATCATTTCTTCACCAAATTTTATTAAACTTGTACCAAAATGTTCACAATTCAACATACAATCAATTAGAGCAAACAATTTTGTGAATTGCTTCACCAAACAAAAAACCCCAATTCAATTTTTTTAGGGTTCGCAAATGGTGGTGGAGGAAAGGGGGTGGGTTTCGCGGGCTAGGGGTTTGGGCTAAGGTGGGTGGCGCGACGGGGGAAGGGGAGGGGAAGGGGTGGGGGTCCGCCGGCCGCCGGCGCGCCTTCTGGTGCTGGCTTCGGCGGCAAGGGGGTTTGGCGGTGCTGCCTGGCTTGTGGTGGCCTGGGCTGGTGGCAGCAATTTGGTAATTTTTTTTTTATTATTAATTTTTTAATTTTTTATTAATTTTTTAATTTTTAATTTTTTTAAAAAAACGGAACAATCAGAAGGTGACACGTGGCAAGTGGTGGAGTCAACTAACGGCTGTCAGTCATTAATGGCACTCGGTGAATTTTTTTAAAACTCAGTGGCATTTGGTGAATTTTGAAAAGGTTCATGGTATTTGGTGAATTTTGCAATTGCTCAGTGTCATTTCATGAAACAACCGATAGATATATATATATATATATATATATATATATATATATATATTATTCACAATTCAAAGGATTTTCAAAATTATATTCAATACATAGTCAAGTACTCAAGTAGGATCTTGCCTCAACAAATGATTTATTATAAGAATGTAATTGTAATTAAAGATATGAATAATCTGATACGGAGTATATAAATTATTGACAAATTTGCACAGCCAAAACAAGAACAAATGAAAACAAATGACGTATTTATACGCGTGCTTTGAATCTCGACTCAAATATATTTAATTTGTATGGGGCATGTTTATTTTATGTTTTACTTTTTTTTTTCTTTCGTTATTTCTTCGATTATTTGTTAATTTTCATTACATATTTTATATTTTAGAACTCAAATAATACAAATGACAAAACTCAATGTTACAAACCGGTGCATCTCCCAAACCACACGGGCACTCAAAGACATAATAGTTTGGGCGTGTTCGGCGCTAGCTTATGAGTAGCTTTTAGTGGTTTGACTTGGTCAAATCACTACTTTGTTAAAAATATATGAGTATTTAGCAATGTAGTGGTTGGGGGTAGCTTTTATTAAAAGTTAGAAATGTTAGCTTTTGAAAATAGAGGTAACTGTTTAGGTAGCTGTTGAAAATTTGATATATAGTTTAAAAAAATATATATTGATTTTTATAGGTAACAACTAGTCAACCGCTACTTTGTCAAACACTCATATCTATATTATCTATCTTCACAACTAACAGCTTGTTGACAGCTAATAACTACCTACACAGCTACCATCTGCCTTCACAGTTATTTTTTGCCGAACACGCCCTAAAAGAGCAAGTCATTTTGGTTTTTTAACGATACGTTATTCATTTGTATTTCAATAAGTACGGCTTAACTAACATAAGAACTGTGATAATACAGTGAATAACCGTTGACTTTGACTTAACGCTCAATTAATTACGTAATAAGTCCATAGTATTTTAAGGGTTGTATCGCTGCCTTATATTGACTGAATAATTTTTTTTTTATTTTGGTGGTACATAAAATCAATATTATACCTTGTGATAATCGTTGCTATATATGTAGCTGGCCGTTTAGAGTTGGTAATCATCAATTCATCATTACTCAATCAAGTAAAGTACAAGAGAGTAAAATTTATAATTTATAACAAGAAAAAAGAGAATTAATAAATGGCCCCCACATCAGCATTTGTAACACCTTCAACATTAGCCAAAGAAACCACATTAAAAGATGGTTACATTATAGATGAGCGGGATAAGGCTATGGTTGCTCATAATGAGTTTAGTGATGACATTCCGGTGATCTCGCTAGCCGGATTCGACGAGGACCATCCAGGGGGTAGAAGAGAGGCAATCCTGAAGAAAGTTGTCGAAGCGTGCGAGGAATGGGGGATCTTCCAATTGGTGGATCATGGTATTGATGTTGAGCTTATCAATGACTTGACAAAGTATACTAAGGAGTTTTTTGCTCTTCCTGATGAAGAGAAGCTCAAGTATGAGATGTCTCCTGGAAAACATAAGGGTGGTTTCCTTATCTCTAGTCATCTCAAGGTAAATTTACTTGTATTTTCATGCACATAATAGCCATAATCAAAGTAACACAACATAATTAATCTTCCAATTCTTTGAATATACATGTCGTAAACTATATAATATGCGCCGTTAGACTTGATAAATAATAATTTTATCCTATTACAAGTATTATTATTCAAATCTACTCACTCAAGTTAGTATATGGTTAATTACTAGCAACAAGGTCAGCATCAATATATTTATTCAATGACATGTTTTGAAATTAACACGGTAAAAAGTCTCATGAAACATATTATAACATACAAGTAGTAAAAAGTCTAATGGAACTGTTGTAACAGGGGGAGGCAGTGGCAAATTGGCGTGAACTAGTGCTCTTCTTTACATATCCGGTACAAGGGC